TCAGCCTCTGTAAGATTTGTCCTGGCATCAGTAAGACCCACACACATAAACCATGGGGCATGGTTCGCAATCATGATCAGCCTGACAAACAAAAATTTTCGACCTCAGAAGAGACAGCCTATCCACCGCTCCTTGCATATACAATCGCCTTTTGCATTGCACAAGAATTGTTGAGACGCGGTTGGAGCCCTCCGGCAATTGAGTTCACAGAACCCGAGGCCATGTCGTACCACTATCTCCGGTCGGTAGTCGGATCGCAGCCAAAGGCTAGCAAATTGCCACCACTGCTGTCAGAATACTCCCATGTGTTGTGCCTCAGTATCCCAGAACATACCTTGCCTGTTTTGCCTGGTCAGCAACTAAAGCAACCCATGCACCATGTGCCCTCTGGAGCGCGCCTGCTTCGTCGCCCACCATTGCGGTTATATGGGGGTAAAAATGATAAAGATAATGGTAACCCGGGTGTAAATAATCCTTGTGGTAGGCCTGAACACGACCACCCCAGTAATAGGCTTGATAACCCTAATGAGGTTGAGTCCAACCCAGTGGCTCCACAACTTCCGCAGAATCAGCAAGTTGCCTACTTTGGGGTGTATCGCACGGGAGAGCAGTTCGTGCGCGCAGCAGTTGAAGCCGGACACCCGGTTGGAAAATCTGCAAGGCTGCCAGGCCCATTGCATGAGGCTGTCCAGTGTGTTGCCAACTTGTCCATGGGTGAGTTGGCAAAGCGCCGCCATGCTGCTCTTGTCTATTGGTTAGAAAGAGGAAGGTCTCTTTGCGGTGAGGAGGTTGCCTTGAAGAGTTGTCTTCCTGTGTCCCTACAGCAGATTCTCGCGCCTAAAAGGTTGCTCCTTTGGAAAGAGATGCTGCACCATTATGGTTACCCAGACTGTGAAGTGTTTGACGAAGTTGTTGCTGGGGTTGATTTGGCGGGCCCTGTTTCCACGGTCGCCGCGTTTGACCCTTGCTTCAAACCCGCAAAGCTATCGGTGTCAGAACTGGCACAAACCGCGAAAGCCTCCAGGGTTGCCTTACTACGGACGGTCAAGTCTTCGGGTGATGCAGAGATTGATTCAACAGTTTTTGACAAAACCCTTGAGGAGCTGGAGTGTGGGTGGCTGGAAGGCCCCTTTGAGCCCGACAGCCTCCCTGATTCCGCCGTGGTCAGCCGGCGTTTTGGTATAAAACAGTCGTCTGGCGACTCACTGAAGGTGCGGCTCATTGACGACTTCTCAGCTTCCTGTGTTAACGACACAGTCCAAGTGGAGACTGCATCCAAACTCCACACTTTGGACGTAGTTGCTGCATTGTGCATGGAGCTCCTGAAGATTGGTGATGGCCACCGGTGGATGGGAAAAACCATTGACCTGTCGGCTGCCTATCGACAGCTAGGGGTGTCCCCTGGAGCCAAGTGGGTCTCCTATATTGCAGTGTACGACCCTAACACCGGAAGTGCAAAGATCTTTGCTATGAGGGCGTTGCCATTTGGTGCTAGCAAGAGCGTTTATGGGTTCCTGCGTGTCGCACACTCCCTATGCTGGCTGGGTTGCAAAGCCTTGCATTTGACATGGAGCAATTTCTTCGACGACTTCATAACCCTGGCGCGCGAGCCTGAATGTCCTCTTGTCTCCATTGCTGCCCTCCAGTTTTTCAAGCTACTAGGTTGGTCGGTTGCCCTAGGCGATAAAGACTTGCCGTTTGATGTTCGCTTCAAAGCTCTGGGGATTGAGATAAGCTGCGAACGTTGGCTTTCAGGCGTGGTGTCTTTTGCAAACACTGAGAAACGTACCAGGGAGCTCCTTGACACCATCAGTAGGATACTGTCAGCTGGCAGACTTCGCAAACAAGATGCGTTGGTGCTGAGAGGCCGAATGCAATTTGCTAAAGCTCAGATGTGGGGCCGTGCAGCAAAGTTGTGCCTTGCAGCAGTAACCAACCATGCTTATGGCTCTTCGGAAGAGATACTTAGTGACAAGACTGTGGATGCCCTGGAAGTTTTCAGAACGTGCCTGGTGAACTCGAAACCGCGTGAAATCACGGCCAGTTGGGATGCCCCGTTTTTCATTTTTACGGATGCTTCTTTTTCTCCTGATGACGACGCTTGGCCTGGTGGATTGGGTGGTGTTTTGGTTGATTGCGCTGGCAGATACCTGTCTGCTTTTTCCTTGAAGCTGAAGCCTGAGCACCTGACTGCCTTAGGATTTCCTGGTAAGAGCACAGTCATCTTTGAAGCCGAAATGCTTGCTTTGTTGGTTGCATTAACGCTCTGGAAAAAGCACATAAGGAACCGCCCGGTAGTCGGGTATATTGATAATAATTCTACGAGAGATGTTTGCATAAGTGGTTCCGCTCGTACCTCTCTAGGCAAAGAGCTCATTTCCTTAATACTCCATCTTGAGGATGAGTTGAGCCTTGTTGCTTGGTATGCTCGAGTCCCGTCAGCCAGTAACATAGCAGATGGACCATCCCGGGGTAGTCTAGCTGAGGTCCCAGCAAAATTCCTTCCTAGCCTCCTTGTAGATGTGACAGTGTCCCACTGCCTTAGCAAGCTCACCCATAATGTGGCAGGGGATGATCCCTAGCATGCGGTCAATTCGGGGAGCAGAGATGTATCTGTGGCAAAAGATGGTGGCACAACCGTGTCACCAAATGCCTTTGGTGCCAAACAAGATACCATGAATGGATGGTGAATGTATTGAGGACCAATGGGGTCCATGATGAATGGCTACAGAGATGGCCTTGGCTTGCATGGCACTTGGACTTCCCCGAGTTGCATCGCAAAAGGAAAAAGGGTGCCTGTTGCGCTGAGTCCAGCATTGATTCCATGTCACCCTTTTTAGTGTTTTTACATGGTTTGGTTTGGTGCGTGTTTTTGCACCTGTAACAAGGAGGTATTGATAGCGTGGCGGCGTAGGCACTGATTGAAGCAAACGGTCAACGTGTTGATAGTGCCTTAAATCATATGCCGCAGAAAAGTTTATAACCCCATAAACTTTTAGCCACGCTATCTCCAAAATGTAATTTGACCTTGTCCCAGTTAAACGAATTTGGTGTACCATCCACCTTCGATGTCATACTCCTTTTGTGGAAACTTCATTTCAGAATGCAAGAAATGTTTACTCCTGTGACTTATTTGCGGAAGCAGAATCTTTTCGTATGTGCAACAAATGACAGGTTCTCCAGAAACTCCTGTGTTGGCAACTCACAATGGTTTTCATGCACATGTTGACTTTGGTGTCTCAAGTTGCCTTTTCCATTCAAGGGTTAGAAAATTTTTCGACGCCCACCCCACTGGCGTTCCCACCCAAAAAACAGACACTTGCTGCCACCTTTCCTGATCCCTGCAGCCGCCAAAACAGTTCATTACCGAACCGTCCATATCATCCGCTGCCTCCTGATGGCACCTGAGAACATAGTCGGATTTACGGCAGCAATCAGTATTGCGTTTCGGTTTTTGGAACCGATCCACCACAATCTCCAGATGGCTCAGAACCTTCAAGAACAGCGCTTGCTGGCCTTCGACAAAATTGTGTCAGCAGCCAAACTGTTGCTCCAACAGGTGGGACGTGCAAAGTATATGGATAGCATGTGGGCATTGTGGTCGCAGCTTTCGCAGAGCATATTCATGCTTGAGCGAACACTGTGGCCGAACCAACCTCCAGAAACAGAGCTTCACATAACGCTCCCACCGTCACCAAGGCCGTTATCTGATGTGCTCCTGGACAACTTCGACGAGTCCGCGACCTACATATTCCAGGCAATTGCACCGCTTGAAAGTTTTCACCAGTGGTTTACCGAAGAGTATGACACCGTCTTGCATACAGAGTTCAATACCATGCTCCTTGATTCCCTTTTGCTGTTTCGCACTTGCGAATCGATGTTGCGGATGAAACAGCGCCTGCAGTCGCTGCTCCCCGCACCGGCAACACCTGTGGCCCTTGACCCGCCTGTTGCCCATACAGCTGCAGCACCTTCTGCAGCTTCAACTCAGCCTGCAGCGACTGACACCATGGTCATGCGCAATGCAGATGGCGAACTCGTCGCATGGTATTGACTTGCAGACACCTTGCGCACAGCGAACGGGAGCAGAGATGTATCTGTGGCAAAAGATGGTGGCACAACCGTGTCACCAAATGCCTTTGGTGCCAAACAAGATACCATGAATGGATGGTGAATGTATTGAGGACCAATGGGGTCCATGATGAATGGCTACAGAGATGGCCTTGGCTTGCATGGCACTTGGACTTCCCCGAGTTGCATCGCAAAAGGAAAAAGGGTGCCTGTTGCGCTGAGTCCAGCATTGATTCCATGTCACCCTTTTTAGTGTTTTTACATGGTTTGGTTTGGTGCGTGTTTTTGCACCTGTAACAAGGAGGTATTGATAGCGTGGCGGCGTAGGCACTGATTTAAACAAGTTTCATTCAAGTGACATGGAAAATCCATGTACGTATCTTGAGGCCCATTGTGGTTCGAGAAAAGCGCGCTCCCGCTCACAATAATTAGAAATGATATGAGCAATATTTTTTATCTTATATATATAATGTCCTGGCATATACATTGGTTGTCACCCAAAATTTTGTTTGAATTGACGTCTTTCAATTCATCCGGAACCAATTGTTTGCAAGTAGACGCGCGGAAAATATGTGAGTGATTGTTGGAAGAAAATCGGGCAAAACACCCTCACCCATGATGTTTCCAGTTCGATGATTATTTGTGTGTGGACGAACTGTACACATGTCTGCACAAACATGTTAATTTGTTCATGCGTGACTATATATTCTTGGTTTGGGCGACGTTTCCATAGTGGTTTTGTCATTGTCCACTTGGGCCGGCACATGTCATATGGTACGACAGTGTCTATTGGTTTAAGCATATCTCATTTTGATGGGTAGTTCAGTACACCATTGTGGGAAAAATGTGACTGTTGGAATGTTTTTTTTGACAACGCAGAGGGACACACTACGTCAGCGAAATCCTTCGACAGCGAAACACATATCATCATGGGATGGCGTGCCATGGGCACTGACGAAGAGGAGGAATTGGGTCTGCTGGCCGAATTTGCGCCTGATGTAGGTCCGGAGCCAAGGTGTGTGCAGTCAATTTTTTTCTTTGCAAATTGGTTAACGAGGCTTGAATTGGAATAGGGACAATTTCATTCAATTTGAGGTCCCACATCCGCAGATGATGATCTGGAAATGCGCAATCGTGGCCGGGCAAGACGTGAAAAATCACCAAATGCCAGGCCTTGCATTTTTTTGAAACAACGCAAGCGATCCCACCACAGATCGAACGCTTCTGAATTTGAGTGAATTGTTGCATTTTGTTCGGAACAAAGCGGAACCTGTGAAGGTCTGTCTCCTTGCAAGAGGCAGAAGAGGACATGGGAAAACACCGTGTTTATTTTGTTTTGTTTTATGTGTGAAACACAATTTGTTCCCAAAACTCAAACAAATTGTGGTTCCCAGGAAAAAGGAACGGCAGGTTTGCACATATTTTGGCATCGTGCTGGCTGGTTGGTCCTGCTTTTGCTTTGCCAGTCGAGTTCTTCGTTTATTCTTCAGCGACCCTTGGGGCATGAAGACAGGTGTCAAATGCAAGACACAAATTTATATAACACTGTCAAATGTGTCTTTCATGCGTTATGCTTGCATTTCAGTCATTCATCTAAGGATTCGAGAGCCTTGGATTGAAACGATCTCGCATTTTATTTTTAGGTTCATTTTTTATGCCTTTGCGGCGGGACAGATTCCAATCCTTGTCGCAGGTTTCTCATCAAATCACATCCAACAGTGATCTATTTCCTGACCATGTTGGTTGGAGCTGGTGGAAATGCTGGCGGTCAAAGTACCGTCCTGGTGGTGAGACGCCTTGCTTTGGCTACGCATGCTACGTTTCGTTCGAAAAAATCTGACAAAGTGGATGCCTTGACATTTCGTCGGATCATAATACCCGAGATCTTGGTGGGTGCCAAACTGGCTGCGGTCCTCTTTGGAGCCGCATTTTTGCGTTGTGCAATTTTTAAGGCTCTGGGATTGGTGTCATGAAAAACATGGCAAAAACAAAAAAACAATGAAAAACTGCAAAACCAAATGATTCTTTGCACATGTTGTTTAAAAAACTAAACTAAAACATATTTGAAGGCCCGTGGATAAAACATGTTGACAGGGGGTCAGATTCAATTGGATGATATTGATACACTCTCTATTCACGTCTATCGAGACACAGTGCTATCATTCTCTCAAAAAATCAAAAAATCTTCGATTTTGCCCTTGTTTGAAGTCATTTTTTTTCAGGTCTATGGGGCTGAATGTATTGCTATTTGTTTGTCCATGTGGCTTGGCAGAATTGATGAGTTGATCGCAAAAACTGAGCAAAACTGACGCAATGTGTGTGTGTATATATATATATATGTGTGTGTGTGTGTGTTTGAACATTATGAAAAAAACCATAAATGTTTCTGGTTTAAACTTCATTTTCCACATGAACATTGCAGTCAGTTGGGATATCCGTGTAGGACAAAATGTGTGTTTGAGTCTGTTCGAGGCTGGTGATTGTATTCACATCGACTGCCCTGGGAGCTGCCTTGCCTCTCTTTTTGAGCCAACTTGGTGTGGATCCAGCACATGCAGGTGCCACCATTCAAGTGTTGCTCGGCTGCGATTTGGACCATTGCTGGGGTAGACTTCTGATTTGGGAAAAAAAAATAGATTTTTTTCAGGATTGAACCGCACCAAAGTTTTGGTTGTTTTTGTTCTGAATCGGTTCGGATTGAAGCATTTCCTGCTTTGGAGCATGGATTTCGTTCACAGGAACTATCGTAGCAGATTCATGGTCATCAAGGGGCAGCATATCCAAAAAAAACCTAAAGTGCACCATAATTGCCATAACGGGGATCCCTCTTCTCTCGGCCGCACTTGTTTAGGTTGATGGATGTCAGCGGAGTGGCGTTGACTTGTGCACCTCGACCGCAGCACCAGAATTTATGGCATTTGTGGCATTGTTGTTCAGCGGAACACTTGACCTTCAATGTTTGCTGATGTTCCATTTGGATCCATTTAGGTGATCTCCAGTGCTGTTCTGGGATTTCAGGACGCGACATGCCTGCATTCTTTGACACTTTTATCAAACTTTGCAACATTTTGGTGTCAAGGTGTCATTGGCGGTCATTGGTGTTGTCATTGCAAGATGTAGGGTGCAACACGGTGCAACCATGTAATTTTATGTCACTTTGCTGCGTTAAGAGTTTCGCCCGCTATACTCCAGTGCGGGAGTGCAGGGGACCGCCAACGTCCAGAAGTCTACTTCTGTCACGACCTCGCCAGCCGCGACCCTTCAAGGTCTTCAGGCGCAGGGCCAAAGCGCATGGCGCTAGATGCCGAGAAAATCAAATGTTTATCCAAGGCTACATAGCTATGCAGGGATCATGCTAGTGAAAAATATAGCGGGTAATGAGCAACTATCGTTTTCAGATATGTGATACTATTATACTACTCTATATATATATATATAGATAGATAGATAGATAGATAGATATATAGATAATAAGATATAGCTATGCATACATATATATGGCCCAGCGTCTGGTGGTCCCCCCAATCCCCCCCGAGATGGTGATGGTCCCTATAGATAAGTTATGTATATATATATATATATAAATGTGCGTGTGTATATATATATATATATATGTAAGTAGTGTGTATATATATTGTGAATCTCACCCTGGAGTTTTGGGGTTTCCCTGACCCTAAGCAAAGCCCTGCTTTGCTGTTTTCCTTCACCAATGCCGAGCCATGTGACTCCACTGCCCACCCACCTCTGTGAAGCGGAAAAAGGGCCACGGTCGAGGACGGTCGACGAGACCAAAAGGCTCAATCCAGCTGCAACTCAGGAGAGTTTGACACACGTTCTCATTTCCAAAACTCCATCAAAACTTAATTGGAGGTATCAAATCAAGAAGAAGCTGGTGGAGCCGGTCCAAGGACGATCCTGTTTCTGAAAAGCTCGAGTTCCAACCCAGTAGTCACTTTCCACCCTATTATCCCCAAACCTAGTAACCCTACGAGCACTAAGTTTTCTGATATCCACAGGGCAATCAGCAATCCCAATAGGTGTAAACCTCACAGTTCTGGGTTTTTGATGTACTCGAATCAATTCAGTCTTGGATCCCCACGTCCAATAGTCATGCAAAGACGAAGATTTCATCTCGTTAACAAAATTGACACTTTCGGACAAATGTCCCTCGGAGGTCTCAGTTTCCTTCTTTTGACTCTTGACCCAACTGATACGTTGCCTACGATCCAAACGCTCCCTAAGAACATTCTCCTCGTCCCGAAGGCTATAGAAAACACCCGTCGGTTATTCCTGGCTAAAATCCCTAGGCTGGAGCCTCGAGTTAAAGTCTTCAAACCTGTTTAGGGATTTCAGCCAGGGAAAATTTGATGTTTGACCCATGGATTTTATCCAGAGCACGGCTTCAAACAATGAGAAGATGTTGGATGCTAGACCAAGGGATTTTATTTCTATGATATATCTATGCTTGTTTGTCAGACCTTGGATTTTATTTCTTTGGTCCCATGCAAGGCTTTGGGCCAGCTGGTCCATTCATGGGCATGTTTCACTACTTCAAGTGCTTTCGCTGTCAGCGTGACTTGCACTCCATCAGCTCCAAGTTTGGTGTCCGCAATCTGAAGCACCAAGCCAATTCTGTCTGCTGCGACAACCATGGTTTCACCCATGGCAGTTGCCCTGAATGTGGTTTTGGACTGGACTCATCTGAAAAACCAAAAGTGGGACAATAGAGGCCGAACAACGGGAGCAATTTGGGAAAGACGGAAAAGGGGGCACGCGTCGCTCGGCACGAGCTGGCATCATCCAGCAATCGGGAACATCAGGCGTTGTCATCAGGCATTGGCTTGGATCTTGGGCCCTTGGTTTTTATCTTGAAGACACTTTTGGCATGTGCTTCTCGGGCCCAGGGATTCTCTCTAACATATTCTTTCTGATCACTCGTTGGGTTATCTCAAGCCTTTGGATTTTATCTCCAAAACCCTTTGCGTTTTTTTCTTTATATTTTGCATTGTTTTTACCGTGGGGTCAAGCCAGGGATTCTATCCAGGGCCCTTTGGTCTCAGACCAGCTGGATTCTATCCCAAATCTTGGCTTAAATCCTTGGCTCCAGGCTAAGGTGTATAAGCAACGGGTATATAAAAACCTGATTTGAGACACTCTCTGAGGACTTGTGAGTCCATTGACTTTGTAAGGCAGTCAGACAGCATCGCCTGCGATGAAACCCATCGTACAACACAGTTTTCCCGCAACCTCTCTCGAATCAAAAGACACTCAATGGTGGTCCTGTGCTCTGAACACTGGGGAAGTGCCGTCCTTGTCAACAAGTCAAAGGCCCCCTTACAGTCAGTGACAAAAGCAGAAGTACGTTCTTCCAAGAGAAGTTTTTCAGGTTGCCTCCAGTTGCACTCAGGATTACGAACCCAGGCCCACAAAACTCTAATCCACATGAGCCTGTCCACCGAATTGCACAGTGCAGCCGCCTCTGCTCCAAGTGTGCTTCGCACAACTCTCGGAATTCTTTTACTGGTCCAAGCAACAGGTGCTACAACAGACCGCTGATTGTCCAACAAAGCAGGAGTAGTAGCAAAAATCAAGGTTCCCTGATGAGCACAATTCTGCTTGTTTGAAAGAGAAGAAGCATCCGAGAAAGCACAATATGTTACATCGCCAGGTGCAATTGGCAGCACCATGAGGGACACCGGATTCTGTTTTGCTTCAGCTAAAACCTTGTTTGCAGTTAAAAGCTCATTCACCGTAGCTCTGCACACTGCCGACTGCAACTCTCCTACCTTTGCTGAAATGTCAGGTCTAGTATGGACTGCAGCGTACTGCAGTGCCCCGACCAGACTTCGGAGTTCACTTCGCTCTGCATCATTCAGTTCCGCATTGGGTTGACTCCTCCTTCCTTTGGTCACAGAAATGGGGGCAATCTTCTCAATGTAGCCTATCTGATCATATTCAATGCTGCAGTCATCCCATTGACGGAAATCGATGCCTGTGTATTTGAAAGAGGGCTTTTCGAAAGATCCAAACTTGAAACGACTTTCAACACGTTTGAGCATTGCCAAAAACTTTTCATCACCACCTGCAATTTCATCATCAACATGGATGCCAAGTGTTCCATGACACTGGGCTTTCCCGTGGTGATCTTTTGTATACATTCCAAAAACGCATGGATCAAGAGGACATTGGGTGCACCCTTGACGAAGCAACTCATCCCGAAACTCACAGTACCACAAATAAGGAGCGTCAATGCGACCATATGCACCCCCATCTAATGCGCACTGATCATTTCCAGTCATTCCCAAAGCTTCCCTAAGTTCAGGTGGAGGGTGTATACCCAATTCTCGCCCATCCCCTTTTCCATGCAGAAACGCCGTGCTGACGTCAAATGACAGCAATTCCCACCCATGGGATGCAACGGATTGCAAAACAGCCTGACGGCCATCCTTCGACAGGGTGGTGGGAGCATCATTGACCACTGTGTCCAGTCCAGGATCCTCGAAACCAATGATGACCAGACGTGCCTTTGCACGCTCGCCCTTGGAAGACAATTCATCAGGAGCTTCGGTGCCGGTTGCACTCTTCCAGTTCAGAATCCACCTACATCTCATCAAAGCATGTTCGGGGATCCTACCACCAGAAACTTTTCTCACAGTTTTATGATGCAACCATGCTCCTATCTCCTTGTGTTTTGCTGCGGCAAACAGACGTTGGTCATGCTCCCCTAGTTCTTTTAATTTTACTTCTACTCGTTTCTTTCGCAACTCTGATGCGAGAAAAACAAAGTCTTCAGCTGACCCCTGTGTTCCATGCAAATCCCAAAAGTTTTGAGGCTCCACTGATTCAGGGGTTACATCCACTTCCCAAACCTTACGTCCCAAACCCTCTTCACATTCCAGTGTATCCCCAAACATGGCACTCTCCTCTTCCGTCAATTCCCCAGGGTTAGCTTCAGGGATTGGAACCAACAGTGGAGCTGCAGAGCTGTTCATGTCAGCTGGAGGGGTAGCATCTCTTGAATTTTCATCGCTTGCCATCGGTTCTTGTCCTGATTCCGATGAATTACTGGGCGCTTGCTCAGGTTCCGGAAGACTACAACTGTCATCAATTGGTGACGACCCTTCCACAACATCACCCTCACCAGGAACATCCGCCCCAAGATCGAAAAAGTCCTGAAGTTAGGCCCTCTTCAACCAGTCAGATGTTGCATGTTTAGATTCTTCACTTTTCTGCACAGTCTTCCATTCCCTGAAAGATGCCGGACGCAGCTGCTCAGGACTTGCACGAATCAAACGGTTTGCATGTGACAGCCAAATGACCTTATTGCCTTCAACCATAGCAACCCTTGCAGGACCAAACCATTTCCCTCTCTCTCTCTCTCTCCTCATGTTTCCCCCAACTTTTCTCCAATAAAGAACCCAATCACCAATTTCAAAAGGATCTCGGAGGGGTCGGCTTCTGCGTAACAAAGCCCTGCGAAGGCTGCTACAATTGTCGGCTTCGACAAAAGCTTTGCGTGCTCGGCTTCTTAATTCCAATGCACGCCGGAACTGATCGCTGTCAGTGCCCTCGTCGGCTGCCAACACATGACTTACTGTACCCTCCCCAGATGTAATGGATGCTGGAAGTCTCCGAGCAAAACCCAAAACAGCTTGTTCCGGGGTGTATCCATGAACCCTTGACATAGTATTCTTTGCTGTGAACACTTGTCTTAAATTTTGTCGGAAACTTTCCAAATCCAAAATGGGTGATTCAGCATTCATACGATCCAACATTCTTTTGACAACATGTCCATGAGATTCTACCCGTCCCAATTGCCAGTGTGAGTCTGTGGCCGTCATTTTGAGAGAAACATCTTCACTTTGCATCTTGCTAAGCCACTCCCCTCCCGTATATTCTTTTGCAGGATCCAAGTATACCTCTTTGGGGGGACCGGCCCAAGACAACCACATGTCATCGAAACACCGGATTTGAGACACCGCATCATCCCCACATGCTTTTCCCAAATGAAACAAGGTACCCTCATCCAAAACATGAAGAAAACCAAACGTAACCCCATTATCATTCGTCCAATAGGCTTTGTCAATACCAACAACTTCATTAAAATTCAAATGTTTGTGGATGGCTGCAGGACGTGCCAAGGAGTACCCCTGTCGGGATTCACTACCTTCATCGCACTGATACTCCAAAGCTGCTGCAACAAGATGCGGGTCTACGTGAGTGCTTTTCAGAAACTGCGCCAATCGATTCGGATCAGTATGACCCATTCTGTGGTGAACCCTCTTGAGCCATTCTTTTTCTTCCCGGCTAAGCTCCAAAAACCGAGGCCCATGTTTTGCCACACCCCTTGGAGGATATCCCTGTTCATACCCCAAATCCCCACTTATCTCCCCACTATTCTCTTTTGGGTTTTCAGGTTGGGGGTTTTCTGTTTGAGGTTCACCAACACATGGACGTTTCGGCACAAATGCAGGAAGTGGTTCTCCCTCACGTTTTTGGGACATTGGAACATCAAAACTTACACTCGGACACACACCCGCTTCAGGAGAAGTCTGAACCCTTGAATCACTTGACAAACCAAGAGGCTTCCCAAAAACTGTGATGCTCAACTTGGCTGGCTTGGCCTTAGAGGCCCGTTTGGTTTTTGGAAGCTCGAGCCACTTTTCGGGGTCCCCAAGTTGTTCAACCTCGCCTGAAACTCGATGCAGAATGAAAGTCTGGCGAAGTGGAATATCCGATTCCTCATATTCGCCCTTGGGCAGACGGAAACGATCCGTCCCTCGGCAGAGCTCCACCGCCCTGACTTGGAAATTGGTGCAGAGTTTCTTTGCGTCTTCAAAAATTACTTCCCCTTCATGAACCACAACAGTTCCAGCCCTAGGAGCCCTAAGTTCAACCCTTCGAAACACATCCTCCAAAAACTCCTTTCTGGGTTTCTTATGGGAAAGTTCTTGTGTGACGCTAGAACTTGTCAGAGCTTTCCGGTGGCTAGAACAGCGACGTGCTTTCAGCTCGCCTGCAAAGACCAGTTGTTCCTGGGAGACCTTTGGCTCTATGCAAAGCTCTGCAATTTCCAATGGAAGTTCACGAGAAACACGACTTCTCAACAAATACCAACAAATGTTTTTTTTGCAAAACCATTGGAATATCGAGCTGCATATTCCGAGAGATTGATTCTTCTCCCAAGATACCGAATGGTTCCTTCAATCGGCTGATGATTGTGACGCTTTTTGCAGTATGGAGAGCCCAAAGTTTCATGAAGCTCTCGTGAAGTCGTGCGAACAACACTTCTTTTCCTAAGATAGTTGTTCCCTTTTGGTACTCTGAGTTTGCCAACTTCACACATATCAAAAACTGCACGAAGTGTCCCCTGAACTATTTGTTCCAAAACCTCCTGATCAAAGACTTCTGAACCCTGTGGCTGCTCCATGTGAAAATGCCTACCATTAACCACCTGTTATTCATAAACATCGTTGCACAGTGCTAGATGTGTTTGTTCTGCAAGGCGACCATGTTCGATTCGTTCTCTGGTGGCTTGGCTGCGGCACATGTTCAACCGACTGAAGTTACCCCAAAGCTTGCACTCCGGCGACATCCAGACATCCCGCGGGTTCTCCTTGAGAAGTACTTCCCAGAGTGCTGCTTGACCCTGAGGTGTAGATAAGTCTCCGTCAGCTTTGGTAAATCTCCTGGCCTTGAGGCCCACCTTAAGAGCTGTTTCTGTCAACTGTGAATTCTCTTCGCAATAGACTTCCAGCAAGTCAAGTTTACACTTCTCATTGGGCTGTATCTTACAGGACAAAGACTTATCACGTGGTGCATTGACCTCCCAAGTCAGTGCCAGCATTGCGTCCAACTCCTTTTGAATCACCATGGAAAGTCGTTCTAACTCCGGACCACATTCTTGAAGATTTGCCGGAGTGGACATCAATTTGCCTGGCTCATCTTGCACGGATGCTGGAGTCACTAAGTTGGGACCACTCAGATATCTGTGTTCTTGCGCATCAGATCGAGCTCCCTCTGAAGGATCGCGATGTTGGTGATGAGGCGCTGCTCTTTCTCCGTGTCCTTCACCAAGGCCATCTCTGATGCCTCGGCCACTTCTGGACTCAAACTTCGCTTCGGAGGTGGAGACAGTTCCACCCCTTCCGTCATCAAATCCCATTCCAGACCTGAGACTTCGTGATGCCAAGGAGGTGTCGTATTCGACACAGTTCCCGTTGTTGCCTTCGAGGAACTCTCCCCCCGTGTCAGAGGCTTGCATGGCGACCAGGTTCATGGCCCTGACATAGTTCTGGAAGCTCAGTGCCCAGGGGTTGGTCAGGTTTGGATGGTTCATCATGAAGGAGCGGTACTTGAGATCCTGGTCGTGGACCATCTTGAAGGTCTCGCCCGAGTGCTTGCCCTCGGGAAAGATCTGAGAATCCCACTCTTCCATTGTTTTCACTCCTTGAGGACGACGGATGGTTGCCTTGGTCGGACAGGCATAGTTCAGACTGGAGTCTTCCGGAAACGGCAGCTCCGGAGGATTCTTGTTGGATCCTACCATTGCCGCTTGGTTGCCCTTCACATCCGCCATGAGTCGAAGCTGTTGAAAGAGTCAACGAACTTGTCGAGGGGCGAGAAAGAGCCGCGTCAGCTGCTGGACATGCTGCTGGTGTTTCTCCACTGGCTGCTGCAGTGTGCTCATGTGGGCTTTCTAAAGATTTTTCACAAGCAAATGTCACGACTTCACAACTGCTCAAAACTTGTTTCTTCTGGCTTGTTGTTGCAAAAACTTCCAAAACCCTTGACAAATCAACCGTAAACAAACCCTTATGATTAACACTCAAAGGCGCACGTTTATCAACACCCCAAAAATACAATTCATTGCTGCCAGACAGAACATCAGCCGAGGTGGATTTCAGAAAAGCATTTGAAAGTAGGAATGGTGTTTCGCCTGCCACAACTTCTAAACGCATCCAACGACAACCAATTGGCAAATACAAAGCTCCAACACTTGACAAAGTTCCATTGTTTCCAAAGCGAAACACCGTATCCGACTTTCCCCATTGAACCTTTGATCGCACAGAAATGGGAAGACTCTCGATCAGCCTTTTTACTTTGCGCTGTCCAATCACCGATTTGCTGGCCCCAGTGTCTATGATACCTGGGCATCCTACCTCCGCACTCAAAACAGTTTCACAGTCACAACTAGTCCTGGATGACGAGATACCAACAATCCCCTTCAACCGATTCTCAAGATTTGCAAGATTCAGTGATCGGACAACTTCAAAATTGTTGATGGTTCCAATTTTGAACTCCGTCATAAAAATGAATTCTTCATTAACACAGGAATCCTCAATTTGAGACCCTGAAAACTCAAGAGATGGGTGGCTATTCAAACACTTCTTTTGGCAGTCCTGGTGACCAAATAGAAGATCATGAAGTTCCAAAGGACTTGAAGACGACGGCAGGTCATGAATGATCTCCTCGGCAACGCTGCTGCTCTTCACCTCTAAGGCCATGTTGACATCCGCATTTGATGCCGTAGTCGAAGATCCCCCCCTTTTGGGGCATTCCCACTTCCAATGGCCCTTTTGGCCGCAAACTCGACAGTGTGAGGCCGCAATGCGGTCAGCAAGACTTTGACGTCTCTTGCCGCCCCCTTTTCCACTGAAGCCTTTGCGCGGCCCCTTCCCCTTTCCCTTCGCTGGCCAGAAGCCTCGAGACTTGATCTTGTCCCTGATGCGTCCCCTGGCTTCAGAGTACGCCGAAAAGCACAGGCTCAACTCTGGAGATTCTTGACATACCTCCACCAGTTGATCTTCAAAATCGGCAACCACCTGAGCATCTTCGTCACCTTGATCGACCAATGTTTGGAGGATCCAGTCTTCGTCGAAGTGCTCCTCCTCTGCCACATGATGTACCTCTTCGGGCTCATCATCCATGTAGTTCACTGGGTAAACTTTGCGTTTCGAGTCACTGGTTGAATTGCTGCCCATTACCTTGGTGTACAACGTCCTCATAGCTGCTTCGATCTTCTCGGCCTCCATTTTTCCATTGGTCATCACAATGACCTTCCGCTTGTCATCGGCAGTCAAAGAACTCTGCCGAAGAAGTATGAAAGCTTTCATATCCTTCACATTGACTTCACCAAGTTCCATGAAGGCCACGTTCAACCGATTCACAAAGCTCATGTTGGTTTCATCGGCCTTTTGAATGATTCTGTAGAGCGCCTTCTCGAATTTGTCGTAAGTCTGCAACTCAGCCGCCTCTTCCCAGGTAGCGACTGCTGACAACAAAACTTGGATCCCTTGGTCCGGATCAGCGAGCTTGGCCGTGTCGGCAGACTTGATCTGCGCCCAGGCCGTGCCCTTCATCAACATGGCAAGGCGAGGTGCCAACATGCTTTTGTCCTTTGGTGGACATATGGAATGCAAGAATTTGACCTTGTCCACGTACTCCCGAGGATCATCCGTGGATGGATCAAACGAAGGGAGGATGGACCAAATGGAACTAGTCCTATCCTCAGGCTGTCCAGTGCCACTCTCAGCAGCTGCAGACATGGCTTCCGCCAAAAAGGTTCCTCTATCTCGTATTGAGACTAGAGAAGTCAGATGCAAAAACGAAAGCTGTAGTGATGTTGTGATACCACTTTCAAATTAAATGCACCACACTGAGAGGAACCCAGTTTCTACCCCCACTAATTGAATTCCCAAAGAAATTGCCTATGCCCCTAGCTTGGGGCTCCGCTACCAATGTGAATCTCACCCTGGAGTTTTGGGGTTTCCCTGACCCTAAGCAAAGCCCTGCTATGCTGTTTTCCTTCACTGTGTTTGTATACGTATGTAGTACGTGTATGTGCAAATGTATACAATATGTATATGTATGCGTAGATGCAGATGTCTATGTATCCCTCCCCCCCTGTGGATGTGGTGGGGGGTGGGGGGGTGTTATTTTTCTGCATCTTCAAAAACGTATTATTTTTCTGCTATTTCGGCAAAACGTTTTTTTTGTTAGTACAATTTTTTTTGACTTCGAGTGTTTTCTTTTCGACCTTCTAGATGGTATTTCTTTTGGCCTTCTAACATGTGTCCTGGTCCTGCACACTGGTATTTGGATTCCTTTTCAGACAACATTCTCTTAGATGACTCTTTGAACCAAATTGCCATCAAATGAAAGCGAAGAATGTGATACACTCTGGAGTCAAGTACAACATGCCGAACAGATCATTCGCAAGGTCATCTCAGGGAAACTCATTTGGTAAACGAGTTTTGTTGCAGCATCCTTCTTATCACCAAACCCAACTCGCAGCAGTTGAGCAGATGGCAATTGGGACTTAGAAGGGCGTTTGTGAAAAATTAATTTCTGAATCTTTCACATGCGGCAGCGTATCCTTAAACAACTTTTGCAACGGCACGAAAAAAACATAATTTGCCGGCGAAAACGCGTAATTTGCCGGCGAAAAGGCGTAATTTCTTTTAAGCAGATTGGTGTGTGCTTTGGTGTTGTTAAAAGGTATTGATCCTGAAACTCAAATGCCTGACACATTAAATGGACAGGGCAAATGCCAAAATGATATGCCAGGATTTGCTTATGTGTTCAATCTAAGCGATGGAAAGGCCAAGTCTTTGCAACGTTCTGGGGATGTATGATTTTTTCTTTGACTTAGAATCTGTTTTGACTAGTGAGGTTTCTTTTAAGTTTAAGAGGCTTCTTCCAAAGTGTCCAAGGCAATCAGTCATGGGTTTCTGTTGTGGTATTTCACTTGATCTCTCTGGGATTAGTGAAGGCTACGAGGCAGCCAACCAAAACTTCATGACAGAATAGGGAAGAACATGAAATAGCAAAAATTAAAGGAAACACATTTTTTGGGCGAAACGCCAAAAAAAAAACAGCAATTTGAACTTCGAGCGATAATTTTGCACATCCAGAGGTTGTAGGTCACCTACTGTAGGTATACAGATATATATACAATGTATGCGCATACTGTATACATTTGCACATACACATACTACATACGTATAGACACATGTATATATATATATACACTTATACATATATATATACATAAATACATGTGCAAACAGGCAATTAGAACAAAGTTGATCTGCAGCGAGGTGGGATCACGGAATTTGAGTTCCTTTGGCACAGCAGGTGGGCAACCCTAAGCACGCAGAACAGGGGACCGCCAGCACAAAGTGGCTGACGCCTTACAGGCCCCACAGGATGATGTCCGGCGGAAAGGTAGAAGCTGCCTTGAAAGCGAAGCATCGAAGCATAGAAGGTAGGATGATGTTTGGGCCCTATGGGATCCTATCGGATCTTATCTACGGTACGTAGGTAGTATCCTCTTCAGAAGCGCTTGAAAAAGCTCTGTGAAGAGCTCCTGGTGATGGACGAACAGCACGACTTGGAGATGCCATGTTTCACTGAGCAGCTCCGACGGTGAACTTGCCGCCCGTTTGAGGGCTGCAGGAGGCACCTGCAACCAATGGCATCTCGAAATTGTTTTTCAAAAGGATGCAACACTTGTCAGTGTAGAGCTGATAGACGTCAGTTTGACCGAAATAAGCGAACAATTGGCAACAATTTGCAGTGCAGTTCTCAGTGCAGCAAGTCTGTGTGTGTTTGGTTTCCTTCGCATTCCTTCGCTTTCTGCCAGAGCCTTGGCTCTTTGAAATCGTGGCCCTATCTTTGCACATTGTAATTTTCTGGGAACATGTGGAAACCTATCGACAGCAACATGTTGATTTGGTAGGCCTGCAAAACCCTTGGTAGCTCATGAAACATGTGGAACTCTTCAAATCTGGCACGTTTGAGCCGTCTTAAACCGGCTGGTTCTCAGTGAGAGAAACCTTGCTTTGCCATGGAGATAGGTGCCCCGGCTGTTTTCAAAAAGTGATGAGTATGTCAGAGAATGTTGATACTTTCTGAAATGAAGCTATCGCTGCTTCTTCGAAACGTTTGTCAACTGAATCACTGTATCCATCACCGTTGGAGCCGTTGGACTGAAAACATGTCCCCTTTTCTTTGAAACAATGTATGCATATGCTGCATATGTGTATTATATAGTTGATGGCTCTTCGGGAGTATGCTCGTTCCTATACCTACATGTGCGAGGTACAGGAAAGGGCCCAGGACTCAAGTTGCAGCAGAGCGATTGCAGTGTCAGTCATCCAATGTGTGCTCCCACAGTGAACAAACACACTGAACAAACTGGCTGTTGTGACTTAATTGAAGGGTCAGTGATACATGGCAATTTATGCAATTCAGGGTACTAATTGCCAGTAACATAGCGACATAGCAGTGTTAAATACGTTGGCTGTGTATCAGAGGTGGGCTTTTGTTGAGGTAGCGACGGTTCTGACTGCTTGGAGGCTCGGATCAGCGGCAGGGAATTTGGAACAAATATGCTGTCAGTGCGGAAAGATATTCAAGTCATTTCAAGTCAAACGGTTATGCCGGTTGCAAGTCTTGGAGAAGCATCCTTGCTTTCAAATATAGCCAAGTCCCGACCATCATTGTGGAACCTTTTGACAGCATGATATGCATGAAGGATCTCAGAGAACGGACACTATTTTTGTTGCAAGGGATTGGGGTGTTTCTGTAGGATGACCCAAACCACAACTGCTCTGCTGCACCGGTTCGTTATTGACATTTGAAGTTACGTTAACTCCAAAGTTTTTTGCCATGCCAGGGACAGAGTCCATTCTTGGCTGCCATTAGACGTGAAGTGGAGGCCATGTTGGGTACTAGCCGTGTTGCCAAATCATGCAGAGCTTTCTTCTCAAGATCCTCGAGTCCTCGTTTGTTGGAAAGGCACTAGAGGATCGGCTTCTCGCGCGAGTCTTGCGCTTACATTTGTGATGCTTTGTGGAAAGGTCAACAGCATTGAATCTGCTTCGCAGTTTCTTCGATTGAGTGCAGCTAGCAAGACTTCTTTGCTTTTGAGATTTCGCGATTGGAGCAGCAGCACCTTCACTTTGAAGCTGTTCTGCTCCAAGTTTGTCAAGGTTGAAAGCAGTCATTTTTTTTAATGAAAAAGATGTGCCAGTAATGGGAACGTGTGACACTAGCAGGTGAATTCGTAGCGGATTCACATTGCTCACTCAAATGGAGACACGGGTCTGAGCCGTGAGTTCAGGCTCTTGAGAATGTGGCTCGTTCTGACACGAAACTGCAAGATGCCGGGAATCCCAACAGTTGCTGTGAAGAACTTGTTTTGCCTGTTGAAGATGTTGTAGGATCCTTGAAAATGAGTCGTAGGTTCCATTGCCCATTGATAAAAGTTGTAGGATCTTGCTGGACTGATATGAAGATGACGATCTTTGGAACCAGGTCGAAGCGAGCCAGCTGAAGCACAGGACTTAGCGGCTCTAGTGGTGTCTTTCAGAGCCTTCCAGCTGGACAATGGACATCTGCCTCTTGGTGCTTGCCATTTCGCATGGATCCTGATCCTCGATTCATATTTTTTGTCCACTTGCTTTGGCAGCAATGACTCAAAGCCAAGAAGCAATGTCTCTGCTGCATTTTTGTGCCCTCTGCAGACAGATAGATTCAGGCTCCAAGAACCGGATAGCTTCACTTCTCTCGATCTGCCATGTCGAAAATCTTCGCCGCCTTGTCTTTTGTGGCAGTTTTCGTCGATGCTCGCCATTGCCTCTATGACAACAGGCCCCTGCTAGAGTCCTGTGGACGCGGATGCCTTGCAGGGCCTGGCAAGGCCTCATGTGTGACGCGCTGCTTGATTGGCAAGCGTGTCAGGAGCAATTGCGCCCAATGCTTGGGAAACGGCTTTTCCTGTGCTCTCCGGTCGTGTCGTGGTCAATGCCAAAGGGGCTTTGCGTCTGCTGGCTGCACCGATTGTGTCAGGAGGAGCTGTGGACTTTGTTCCCATGCTGGCAAGTCCCTTGAAGAGGGGGTGAATCAAACTGAGATTAGCCAAATTTTGGCCGAGGTGGTCTTTTCTGCCAAGAAAGAGGAGCTAGAGCAGGCTTTCAAGAATGACGAGCCTGAGCCTGAGCAGCCCAAGTCTGCACCAGAGTCGGAGCAGAAGTTGGCGGAGGACAAAGCCGCTGGATGCTACGAGAACCGAAGGGCATTGAAGGCTTGCGGAACTCAGTGCTTCAGCGCCGCAAATCGTGGACAGTGCGCAAGACGCTGCCTGCGAGACACTTGGGGAATGAGCGCCAACTGTGCGAACTGCTTTGGAGACAAGGTTGATTGCACCATTCGAAAGTGCTTGCCCAAGTGTGCCGGCAGCTCCGAGGCCTGGAAATGCACCAATTGTGTTCGCACAAAGTGTGGACGCTGCAACATGAACAAGTCCGGTGAGGGTGAGGAGATGTCGGATAATGTCTTGAATGCTGTTGTGCAACTTGCCACTGCAGCCGGCAACAAGGACTCCGAGGAAGCCTTTTACCCATGAAAGTGAGGACAGATGGCAAGCATTACTAATTCGATGGCTCGTGGCAAGTTTAGGCGTGCCAAAATCATGAATTCGATGGGTCGGGGCACAAGAAACAACCCGATGCTTGACTTTTGATGCACCAGTTAGCAGCAAGGCTGTTCCTTAGCTGATCACAACAAAGGTCTTGCTGGGAGATGGCGAACAAAGCAATCTATCCAGGCCGCGAGCTATCCAATCTGAGGGGCTGCGGCGGAGTCCGAAGCGAATTTTGCCCAGTCTGTGAATTCACTCGCGACTGGTACACGTAATGTTTGCCGTCGCTAACTGAAAAGTCGTGCCATGTGCTTCAGGGAACCTGCAATCCTTGCAAAACTTGGATGAATTTCCCATGGGCTTTTGCAGATGAGGTCTGAGGTGACCATTGCGCAACTTTCAGGCCAAATGTCCTGTTCTCAGAATTTCTCTGAACCCTTTGCAGATCCCAAACGGAGAGAAAAGAAGTCGGCTACTGCAGCAGGAAAGCTGCCATGGATCAATTGCAAAGCGTGCAACGCTGCGCTGCGGCCCGGGGTCCTGGACGTGTATACAGGGCCGAAATGGGTCAAAAGGACCACAAAACTCAGCAGCTTGAAATTGAACAGCAGAGAGTTGATCTGCGCTTCGCAGTGATTCAGAAACTATGTCTTCAGAAACTGGACGCCGTATTCAGAAACTACTGCATGGTATTCAGAAGCTACTCCGTCGTATTCAGAAACTACTCCTCGTATTCAGAAACTGTCAGAAACTACTTTGGCATATACAGAAACTACTCCGTCGTATTCAGAAACTACAGGTTGGGTTTAGGGTCTCTTTAGGGATCTTTAGGGTTTCTTTGGGGTTCAATTCATTCAGGGTTGGTTTAGGGTTTCAGGGCTTATTTAGGTCCTAGGTTGGTTTAGAGCTTCTTTAGGGTTGATTTATGCTTTCTTTAGGGGTTGGTTTCGGGTTATTTAGGTCAGTAGTTTCAAGATAATATAACGGCGATCATTCTCTGTATATAATATAGGACATATTCATATTGCAAACGTTTCATTGTGGAAGAAGATAGTGACATCTACGGTGTTTCTTAGTTTTTCTTTTTGGGCTTCTGTCAAACGGGGCCTATGGCCTCTTAGGTTTTAGGTCCTAGTTGATCCTGAAAGCTTGGTCTGCGAAAAAGAAACAAGGAGGTAAGCTGGAGTACAGTGGATGGTTCCAATTTCCTACTGCAGACACCAAAGCCCAGCACAGCCCAGCACAGCCCGGCGCAGCAAAAAGCCTCGGGTGTTGTTTTGGGTTGTCGGGGTGGTATGGGGTGTGCTGGTTCTTCTGTGCGCAACTTTTCATGCGGAGAGGGAGTTCCCTGGCTCGCCCTCTTCCTGGGACGTTTAACCAACCAGGTTCTTTTTCAACATTTGGATTCAAAATGATTCAAATAGTTCCCCACATGGTTTTTCGCAACATTTTCAGGTGTCTAGTGCACCAGCATGTAGCCCTCGAGGTTGGAGTTGTGGGATGTGGTGGGAACCAGTCTCCGAGCTTTGCAAAGTTATTGGAAATAACCCCGTCCACTTAGACTCAGATTCTACGACAGCCTCTTCAGTTTTGTAGGCCAGTGCGTTTGCTTCTTCTCTGAAACATGTCTGACCCACAGTATCGAATGAACACGAATGAATCTTCTCAAACCTTCTGAAATATCTTGAAACATCTTGAAACCTCGTCAAGATTGCAGCAGCCTCGTGAGCTGCGAGCCGTGCCTCCGCAAGCTTTTTTGCTCGGTTCGAGCCTGCCGGTCTGGCGACCTGATGCAGCCTGCATGAGAAGCAGCAGTAGCAAGCAGCATCTTCAGGTTGCACTTTTGAAGCGTAGAAAGCACAAAGCGATATGCCAGCAGACAACTGCTGAATGACTGAGAATGAACTGTGACCAGGCACTTTTGCAACAGTTGGAGTTTTCTTTTGAACATTATTGCAAACTTTTCGTATAGTGTTGAATCAGTCCTTTGTCCCTTGCTATACCAAAGTGACAGCAGCCCTTTGCAAAGCCCGCAGCTGAGATATCTGAGGCTTTGATGATCTTTCACAACGGTTATCAGAACATTCAGAATGGTTATCATGTGCTTATTGAGTCAAGTCTGCGCGGCCAGTGAGGCGTTGCCCAAGCCCTCAACATGTTGAGGAAAGCTGGGAAAGGCGTTTGAAAAACTGTGTGCACTTCAGAGGATGTGCTGTGCAGCAGTATTGCAAGGATTGGCTGATTATGACACATTGTGACTTCTGATATATTATTGTGATACATTATGATATTATATTGGATGAGGTGATGGCTGCTAGTGACAGTGAGAGGCTGGGTCTTCGGCTTGGTTTTCTATGGCATAAATTGGAGTCTAAGCCGGCGCTTTGAGGAAATGCCTTGTTTCGGGCGTTTAGGGTCTGTGGCTATGGCAATGGCAACCTGACAGGGGCCTGGCCACAGCACCTTTGCGAAGAACCAGTGCACGGAGCTTGGGCTGCGAAATTTCTGGGTTGCCATTGCGGCTTTTTAGCGCGTGGCACCTGTGAAAGGGCTACAAAATACTAGGAACCTGTTGAACCTGCACAAATTTTCTGCAGGTGTCTTCCAATAGCGCTGTTGTAGAGGAGTCTCCGCGACATGAGGCAGAGTTTGCACAGCGGAGTCACAAAGCGAACCAACTGAATTCCCTCATTGGTTGACAGAGGCTTAAGAGATTTGTAGCTCCTTCGGTATTCAGGATATTCCATGATCTCTTACTCTTGAAGTGACTTGAATCAACCGTCCTGCGAGGCTCTTAACTATTGCAAGAATCCTAGACTTGAGTGTTGGCCCATTTGCACACAGCCAATGCAGATTCCTTTACCGGAGGGCAAATTGAAGTCTGAAAATAAAGTCATGCAGAGTTCATCACAACTAGCACAGTAGATAATCACCAGACAATGGAACCAGAGCGAAATCACCCTGACAACATCTTTCTGTTTTCATTTCGGCTGCTTTGAGGCAATTTCGAAGACTTCCTGGAGCATCTGGGCCTCGACCACACCTCCGCCAGTCTTATCCTCAATGTGGTTTGGCCAGTTCCCGATTCTACACGCAGGTGGCATGTCAGGTTGCTTGCGACTTGGGAACAATAAAGCTCCACAAGGTTCTATACGGTTTTACAAGGTTCGCCAGATTGTATCATTTGCGCCGACCCACACTTTGCAGAACAAAGTGAAAAGAAGTGCCACTGTGTGCTTCCTGGCCAGTCCCAGCCACCTTGGCAAGGTGGTCTCACGATAGCTGCTGCACAGCAAATGTCCCTGGCTCAGAGTGTGGTGTGGTTTGGTTCCGCTGTCCCTGGGTTTTTAAATGTTTTTAATGTATTCAAACAACATCCCACAGCCATTTGTCAAAGGTTTTCAGCTCCTCTGCCACCACAGTGGTCCGAGCAAGTGGATGAGACTAGCTCTCGTGTTGGGTGGCCCAACGAATCTGCAGTGTTTGGGGGGCTCTGGCTCATGCCTTTGGATGTCTTCCCAGCAGGTGGGTCGGGGATGAAAGCAGAGACAGAACACTTTGGTATTCTGATGCAAAACTGAATGAGATCTGCACTCGCCAAACAGCAACACTTGCAGAGTCTTGCAGACAGGTGTACTTCTTCAACCGTGCGACCGGTGACTCCTTATGGATGCATCCGCAGAAGTCCATCTTTGAGGACAGCTGTGAGTTTCTGCACAACAACTCAGCTGGAAGGCTTGAAGCACCTTCGGCAGACCAGGGAGCCAGAACAGGGAACGCTTTGTTCAAATCAAATATCTAAAAATTGTAAGATCAATCAGCACCTAGGAGACTGACTATATATACGTACGTATAATATATATATATATATTATATAATTATATATATATACACATATTGGATCACTCGGCCCAAGTGGTGTGTATGTTCAGGACCTTCTTCAAGAAGTGCAATGCTGGCAGCCTGACAACAGCCTAGAGGCCACCATCTTTCATCATTTTCTGCCATGGGCGAACAACCGCCTTGGAAACACCTTTGGCGCGACAGGAGATTGCTGCTCGGGCGGACGCGCATTTGCGACAAGCCCAGAGGACAGCTGTGGAGGCTGGGCTGCTGGGAAGGTATTCGCGGAGCGTTTTTGGCATGACATTTGGCAAGTGATCTCATGGTGGAACTCTGCAGGGAATCTCCATACAGGAAAACCGGCATGAGAATTCAACAATGCAATGAGAACTCTGTTGGTCATTCTAAGCTTTGCAGACTTTGAGCGCCACAAGGCCCTTGCGCAGTGGAGTGCCTTTGATGCACCACAGGCCTGGGGACCGGAGACCACTTTGTGGCAGGAGCATGGCAAAATCACAGTCCTTGTAACGGGTAACAAATTTCAGATAAGTTCAGAAAAAACACTAACATGAAATTGCAACTATGGAACAGGTAGAACTCCGGCTGGTGCCGCTTGATTTACGCCAGAAACAAGTCCCGTGATAGCACTGAAAGACGTGCAAGTGTTCTTCCGCAGCCCTTTCGGTCCATGTGCTGCCACAAAAGGCTATGTCCTTGGCGGCACCTCAAAGATAAGTTCTACCATCCGTACCCGACCCTTTCTCGTACAAATTCAGCCTCCAAGAAATTCAGCCGTTGATGAAGGCGGCTACCTTACAGATCTCCAAGAAATCATCTGTCTTTGCTGTGAAAACCACTGCTGACAAACTTCGCGTCGGGGCCTGAGTTTATGGCACTGAATTGTCGTGAAATCCACTGATTTCCAGTGGAATCTGTTGGGTGGGTCAAATCGATGTGTGAATCGGGTGAAAAGGGACACACATGGGTTTTTCTTAAAGGAGGGTAACTCCAAATCCATAGGATTGTCTGTGTTTTTCCCATTAAAATGGCAATTTGAGGGTATAACGATGGTTTTCTGATGTTTTCTGTATATCCGATATATCCTTCTTGAGGCCAGAATATATATTTTTGGGGCTGTGGCAGTGTTCTCAGGTGACTGGCTTCCTTGCGGGCATCACCATCTTGGTTTGTGTGGCTGACTATGTGCTGGCAGAGATGGGTGGCGAGAAGGTGAGACTTTTGCAGTTTTTTTTTGTGTTGGTATGAACGGAATACACACTTTTATAATATATATGTAGTGTATGTATGTATGTGTACGATTGTGTATGTACATATATATATATATACACACTATACAAATAATATATCAAATAATCATGTGTGTATATATTCATATTGCACATATACATCATATAATCATATATTATGTTTTTTTTCTTATCTTTTGGAGGCATCCTTATACGAAACCAACGACCTAGGTGTGGCAAGGGACCTGTGATTCATGGCCAGAGATTCACCTCCGCTAACGCAGGCAGTGCCAAGTGGCGGCCGTTCATTCCTGATTGAGACGGCAACGGTGCTTGTTTGCATGTCATGGCCTTATGGAGAATTTAGAAACGGACAAAGAAGCTTAAAGAAGCTTGAGTTCCCAAGGCAGAAAAGGCAGTGGTTGAGAACGTGAAAGCGCGAGTATATATATATATATATCGGTCCAAACAGCACTTTTTGAGGCTGCTGCCTGCCGCCTTTATGCATGTCTCAAAGGCTCTGTGCAGTTGAATTGTCAGTTCAATACAGTTTCAAAGAAGCGTCCGGGAGTTTTCTTCATGCTCTCAATATTTTCAGGCATCCATGTTAGCTTCAAACAAAGGATGGTGCAAACAAGAGATACATTCTGCCCATTCGCGAGGCAGCCTTCAAGAACAATGGCAAGGACAGTCCCAAGAACCGTGGGAAGGTGATTCACACGTGTCGCTTGGCATCCGATGGCAGCAAAGACACAGCCATGAAGAAGGCCCTCCTTCCTGCGCTGACACCAAACGGACACTCCTGACGTAAGTCCGCGTCGTAGGGACTATCTTGCAAAATATGTGTTGTCTTGCAGCAATGCACGTAGGGTATGGGATCTCTTCACCACTCTTCACCACTCTTCACCCCTGAGCTCAAAGCGATTTGTATGGATAGTCAACTCAGATAGAGATCCAAGGCGATAACAAGAAGCCAGTGAAGTCCGAGTCACAGGTGGCTATCTGGGCGCTGCATTCGGATGCTGTTGGGCCGTGAAACTATTTCAGACCTAATTACCTAGGTTGAATATGACTGGATGATTTCATGATGACACATGATGACTATGTTCATAGATATCATAGATGTTCATAGCACATCATGGCCTGCAGTAAAAGAGATCCACCTTGATGTTGCGCTGGGAACGCAGATTTTGGTCCATGTTTTCGTAGTTAATGTCATTTTGATCCATTTCGGGTTACCCAGTCGCATTTCGAGAGTCTGAGAGGTGTCCTCCTCTGACTCCACAGATTCACCGGAGTCGCCAAGTGAGCAGGACACAGGAAGTGCTACCTGGCTAAAGCTTTGGGTGTGGGATACACAACATGCTTTCAACATGCTTTCAACATGCTACCAAGCTACCCGGCAGCTACCCGGAATCCCTTCAGTAGAATGGAGGGAATGAATGGCTTAGACCATGTCTTGATAGGCAGCTTGGATCAAAACTCTATGATGCAAGATGCGGCAGAGTGCTTGGCTTCTCTATTCTATACATCTTGGATCACTTTTAACAGTCTTGGTCACTGCTATTCATGTGGCGAAATGGTGCAGTGACTCGCAGGCAAAGAGCATGTCCCAAGCAGTGGCGGCTGCTGTGCGCAGCGGTGATCGGATGCGTGCAGAGCGTCTTCTGGGAGAGATCTTAAAATCCAAACTTCCCGTGGATACCATGCCTTTCAACTCAGCACCTTGGTAGATCTGGTAGGTCTGGTAGATCCACTAGGAGCAATGGCCTGCAATGGGCTGCAATGGCTGGAACATGGAAACTGTATGAAACTGTGTGAAACTGTCAACAGTCAGCGCCTTTCGAGTAGAAAATGCAGGAAGGACATAGAAGGACACTTCTTGGGATCATTTGCCGGCAGCACTGAGGTTATCCATGCCTGTGCCAAGACAGGCGACATGGCAGGAGCGCGACGCTGGTTGCGCCAGATGCGCTTCTTAGCTCCTTTTAGCGTTTGGGGTCCGGTACAATCTGGCATTCAGTTTGAATCCTGAGCTGCTTTGGTCAAAGCTTTGAATTGCAACCTTGAACATGGCAAGGTTCAGCTGGCGTTGAACCAAATACAATCAGCTACAACATCCTCATGGACGCGACTTTGTGACCAACAAGTCAGCAATTGTTTCAGGAGTTTTTGATTTTTGACAGGATGCATTTCTATGCTACTCTTTCGGCACATTGTCGCGTTTGCTGAACGAGCTGGGTTTTGAGCTGGGTTTGAATCTTCACAGGATTTTGTATTTCATAATGGTTGCTGCAAGTAAATGGTGCAGTTGGACAAAGCTCAAAGCTCCACGACATCCAAACCATCTGATCCGATCGCCTCATGGGCCGTGTCTTTCGTGTGCTCAGCTGCTAGGCATCTGCAAAGGCCGATGATGCTGAAGATGCCGAGCATTGGCTGTCAGAGATGATCAAAGATAAGGTCTCAGCCAACGAAGTGTCGTGGCTGCGGTGGATATCTTGCCTAGACTGACGGTGCTGAGCTCACTCTACGCTTCTGCCAAGCATCATACCACACAGATACATACATGTACATATATATATATATACACGTATATGTATATAATCATGTATATTTATAAAGATACCATGGACTTCTTAAATCCTGCTAACAAATGTCAAGGAAAGGAACTGAGAGGATAGTGTGCAATAGAGGATGGACACACAACACTCACCATGTAGCCCGTTGGCTGATGAACAAACAAAGACAGAATATCCGAGGTGAGCTATGCAACAGTGATCCATGCCCGAGCAAAGCGAGGGGAAACCGAACTTGCAGAGCATTGGCTTTGGAAGATGTTGGAAGCTGGGGTTGAACCCAACATCGCTCCCTGGCATCACAGATCACAGACCTTGGCAGCCAAAAGACTTGGATTTCTTTGGGGTTGGACCAGGTAGGCATGCACTCAGCAAGTTGCAGGTTAGCTACAACTCCCTCATCTATGCTTGTGGGCGCAAAGGCATTGGGGGAGTCCCGGACCGTGGGGGTTGGCGACAGTGAAGCCTACTTGCTGACCCTGTTCCCCAGAAGCTTTTGTCGGGCTTGAGCATGTTTGCTCAGGGTTGCTTCTTTACTTTTGTTTAAATTCCTGGCAATGCACAAACATCAGAATCATAATGAGGAGCAAAGGCTGCAGGCGAGGTTTGTTTTGCTTGGAAGCAATCCTTGTTGCGTTCTGAGCCGTGCTCTGGCTTGGTCTTGCGTATGGGCAAACTTGCTCAGAAGAGATTCCCAGGGTTTGATGAACAAAGATGACTGAAGAGATGAGACTAACACATGTGGAAGGCCATGGCCCAAGATAAATTGAAGTAAACTGGAATGTGGTTTGTGGGTGGTTTTGAATATTTTATTTCAACTTAGGAAAGATGATGGATGTACCTTTTCTCAATTCCTTTCCACCTTTTTTGTGGGTGGCTCAACGCACTTCGCATCAGGTGATGCAGCCAGTGCTGAGCGTTGGCTCGGAGAGGCTGAGCAACGTGGGTTGTCGCCGCGGGTTACGACGTACACTGCTGTAGTGGACGCATGCGCGGCTCAGCGAAAATCTAGGGAAAACATGGGAAGACCCGCAGAATCTCATGGTTTTATCACAATTTTTTGGATCAAAACTGACATGTTATGTCAAACTCCACATTTCAGACATACCCAGATGTGAGTCTAAGTGGAAGAAAGACGCGCAGACAAACATTTTCCACCGTGCCGTTAATCCCTTGCCCTATTGGTAAATGTCCCGTGAGGGACCGCGAACATGAATATGAAAGACATCTTTTTGCGCGGAGTCAGTATTAAAACGGAAGTGGATACTCAATGTGATTGCATGTATACAGTATATGATATACACACACATACATATTGAAATATATTGAATATGTGGGAGTCATACGTTTGCGTGCATAACAATTCTGGATAGTACAGACATGCTCATGTCCATAGGCACGTTCATGTGGAGACACAGACACACAGCAAGGCAAACCATAGGTGTGACTTGGTTCAATCAGATTTACCTTCACGTGAATAATGTCACTTATGCAGTTTATTTGGGCAGATGAATTCATATCAGCCGTTATCGGATCTGTATCGGTTGCAGCACTGAGGCCAAGAGTGGTGATGTGGAGCGAGCAGAGAAGTGGATGGAGAAGATGAAGGTGTTTGTTTTGGTGTAGTTTTTCTTGTTTTGGGTTGGCCAAAACTGTAGAACTTTCATAACTGGGCAGACCTCCAAAGCCAGCTCCGGCACCCCAGGAGGCCAAAGTTGAACCAAATGTGGTGAGCTACTCAGCGATGATCGACGCCTGTGCAAAAGTGGGCGATGCCATCCGAGCACAGCGTTGGCATCAACGAATGAGGACCGGGGAACGGAAGATCATAGCGAGGAACAAGGAAGGCAACACATGCATACACACACAACACACTCGACACATGCTCGCGAATAGACATTATAGTCTAATGTGCCTGAGGTGGCTTTGCCAAAAAGGCACTTTTTCCACCAATGCCTCATGAAATAGATTCTCTGTGCGAATGCCGCGCAAAGAAATGCCCACAACGCTCCGAGCTTTGGTTTGCAAACTACCGTTCGCAAGCTGAGATTTGGTTATGGCATTGTGGTGTACATATCCTCTTCTTGTCCGACTCCTGAAGATTCTCAGAGTGTTCGAAGTTTTGTTTGGCTTTGACGATTTTGAATCATTTTTAGCATTTGCCAGGAATTCTGGCGTTCAGCCCAATGCCCACAGCTTCAGCGCAGTGATTAATGCCTGTGCCAAGAGCGGAAACCTTGTGGCAGCCTGCGAGGAGTTCGACCGTAGCTGACACAAGTGCTGAGGGGCACAGGGAAAATCGAAGCTAACCCCAAGCTAAGAACAGACGTATTTACATGTATTTACATTACCGTAAGTAAACGTCTGATTAAAGTGAGTAAGTATTGTACAAATTGTACAAATAAGCTTGTATAGGCAAGCGGGCTCTGAGTTCCTTGGCGATTCCTTGGGCTTGACAAATGATCCTGTTCCGTGGCTGAGGCATGGAGCAGGCTGGCGTGGTGGCTGACGTGGTGGTCTACAGTGGCCTCTTAGATGCTTGTGCCAAGGCTGGCGACCTTGTGCGTGCCAAGGAAGTCTTTGCCAGGACGGGGTTTCAGTACACAAAGTGACATGCAAACAGCATCAAACAGCCATTAGTAGGGGCTTAAAGATATATTTCACCGCAACCAATAGGGGAAATCAGATTTGTTAGTTGTGTTCCAATCATGGTTTACAACCCTATATTAGTAGGTATCGGTATATTAGTCATTGTATTGGATATCTATCTGCCATCAGCATGAGGATGGTTTGAGTGTATCTGTTGGACACAACAGATCTACTTTTTGGGAGTGCCGCTTTGGTAAAGGTCATGGAGTTTTGCTGTTTTGATTTGCAGATGCAGCGGTTGCAATTTAGCTTTGGTATGAGCCAAGGCCCAGGCAAATGGAAAATGCACCTATAGCATACGTATATTATATGCAATATTTATTAATATTTACTATATGTGTATATATGCAATATGTAAATATATAATATGTCAATATGTATACATACGATGCACATGTAATTGTCCTCCATAATAAGGGGCCGATTCTCATCTTGCACCTTGCCCGGTTCTGGTTATTCTGGTTCCCCTTGCTTCGATGGGCCGCACATCAGGATGAAAGCCGCGGGTGTGCAGCCAAATGTGGTTGCCTATGCATCATTGGCACGGCCTTTTGCACATCGAGGTGAGTGGCAAGAGGCGACACAGCTGGGACCCGGCCCATTTTGTGGACTCAGAGTGGACCTGGCGAGACCCAAAACCTCAAACCTGCGCAGCCTGCAAGCTATTCTAATCCACTGTGACTTTGCAGCAGGTGGAAAACTTTGCTGATGATATGCAAAAAGCAGGTTTGGTGATGAGCCCCAGCTGCATCAAAGAAAGATCCTGTGAATATCCTGAAGTTTTAGCATTGACTTACTACTGCAGTGAGGACTGCAAAGTGGCTATTTTGTTCCCGTTCAAGATTACTGTAGCAATGGATACATACTGTAATGACATATGTTGCACTTCCATGAGAACTGCAATCTTCGCCTACATGAAGTTGGCAGCGCAAAACCTACCAGTTTCTCTTTACTTGCCTAGGAACGAGTACTTCCTCTATGCCTTGCTCTTGGGCTATGCAAGCGCCCGACCTCGTCAGTCGGAGCGTGCCGAGCAAGCCTTTCGCAAGGCCTATGCAAAAGGCATTGAAGCAAACAAACATGCAGCCCAGCAGCAGGAGGTTGGGGACATGCACCCTCTATCCTTACAGTTTGATGTGTCCATGTTGATTCAGTCACTGCTTGATAGCTTGATAGTGGATAGCAGTTTTTTGCCATGGCCATGATGGAGTTTACAGAAGCAAATGAAAATGATCGTTTGGCCTGGCCTACCCCGAGGTCCTCACAGCTTTGGGTCGCGCGGTCGGCCGGGGCAAAGCAGCTCAGATTGTCGCTTGACGTCAAGAGGCAGAACTTTGAGGTCAACGTTTGAGCATGTTGTTGGATAGTTCTTATGCTTGGTGCACGGTGTTGTCCTCGATGTTATTGCAACTTGGACAGATTCCGCTTTTGAAAAATGGGTTTGAGCTTCACTTCATCTCTGCATCTATCTGGTACAGGTACTGTACCCATGTTTTCGGGGTTTCACGACATTTCACGACATTTCACTACATTTCACTACATTTCACTACATGTCACTGCCTTATGCTAAGGTCAAAGACCTTGGCATTCCAAGTGCCATGGAGACAGAGCTTCGGGCGCCACGCTCTCGGTGAGTCCCGGCCGACGCTTTGGCTTCACGGGCCTAGCCGGCCGTTTCCATATGTTCACAGCACAAATTGATCCATTGAGCAGGAAAAAGGGTGCTGTGTGGAGCGTTTACAGATTAAAAGAAGTGGCTTTATGCTGTAAAAAGTCAGCTGGGGTAGTTGCGCATTCTAAACCTGATGGTTGCGTTGTTATTGTTTCGAGACAACCCTTGCTCTGGTTGCAAGGGACCTGAGGAAGCGCCGGAGTTTGCGGAAAGCTCGCAGTTCGGAACCCCGATGTGCCATCAGTTTTTGATTTTGATGTGTTTGCAATTTCTGCTGTACACTTTGTGCAGATCCTATAGAGATCAGTTGGAGATAGCGTGTCGGTTATCTTGTCCCGGGTCAGTCCCGTCCTTCAACGCTCGGCGTCTGCGGCGTCTGCGGCGTCTGCGGCGTCGGCAGGTTCTACTTCAACGCAACCACAGGGGAAAGCAGTTGGGCCGACCCACGGCAGTCAGTGGAGTTCGACCTCAGGACGCTGTGCCGTACGACTGCACGACACGACTTGTAGATTCATGTTGGCACCCATGTAGATTCAATGGATATATCGGATATATTCGGATATCACTTGCTGTGAGTCGATCGTTGGACCTGGAATGGCCTGGATATCATTGGATCATATTGATTCATACTGGATCAACGTGGAGATTTTCTCAGATTTTCTCTACATTTGTTCAATTTGTTCCGCAGTTTGTCCACTTCAGGCTGAGACACAGTATTCTCTCGGAATGTATCTCCGCCTTCCGTGTGTCCGGTGTCCGAGTGCCTCAGCATGTGGGGCCAGTCGGAACCTCTTGACTTTTCAGCTGCCTGAACCACGCAGTTTGTCACTTTCCAAGCAAAAAACAGTCATCTCCCAGGCTTGGTTTGCCCGATGAGTCCTCCGAAGGAGAAGTCAGCAGCCATGCGGATGGGAGACATCCTCAGCTACCCAAACTAGAAGCCTTTGAAAAGATCTGACAAAGTTCAGATCTGGATCTTCGTCCTTTTGGCATACAGCTGGGTTAGGCTGGGTTGAATCTTGTGTCAGTAATTTGGAGCAATGGCCTTTGCATTTTCTCTCAACGCCAAACATTCACGAAGCATTTCAACCAATTCTAGCAGGCACATCTGCAACATCTGAGGCGTGATGTAGCATTGCCTCAGGCGTGGAACCGAGCTTGATTTGTTGCGGAGGGCCGGAGGGAATTGGGAGCTGTATGGCAAAGACCATTGGAGAACTTCAGCTACCAAAAAGCTGGACTAAAAACATGTTGTGTATACTTTAGTAACTTTAGTATATATCGTTTGGGCATCCACTGAGTGAAATGTACATGTCTAGCGTTCCCACCTGAGTGAACTTCAGTGCGAAGACTTGCATATGCTGCATATTATATGTTTGAGAAGTTTCTTGGGGGAGTTTTGCGTGGGATCCCAGGCGCAACCGTTGGCAGATCAGGCCTTTGGTGGAGACTTGGGTGAGCTCTTGGGAAGCCTCACCCTTCCCTTGCGGCATGTGGCACGGACTCCCAGATGGATCATGAAGTATCAACAAGCAATGCCAAAAATGGGTCGGTTAGATTGCTGTATATATATACACACATATACACATATTGCTATGCTGGGCCTTACTTACTGTTGGTGGTGGATTTGCTGATCTCTACCTAGTTCTTTTTGCCGTCCTCAGTCCCATGGCAAACCTCCGAATGACACCCTTTAAGGAACGTTTGGAGCTTCCAAAGGCTGGTGTACCGATCAGACCCAATGTCTCTGCAGGCTGGATGCGCGTCTTAGCAGAGAAGTTGAAGCAATCAAGACAAAGCTCTAGACACGAGACACTGTTAGGCATTCCTTATTTTTCCTGATTGTAACATCTTCTCACAATCTGGTTTCCATGGCAACAACATGTCAAACTGTCGGGGGTAGGTCTGCTGTTTGGGATTATCCACCGAAGGTGACGAAACAGGGCGCACTGAACTGCGAGAGGCTCAGCAGAGGGCACGTGAGTGGTGTTCAAAGCCTCTGTTGGCAGCAGAAGTCTTGAATGCTCCTCGTGTGGCTGTCCTGACACTTTGCGGAGTTTGAACCAACTCAGCCAGGGTCATTCGGCTTTGGTTGACTACTGAATCAGTGGGTAGGTGGTTCAAGGAATTCTCACCTTGACTCCTCCTGACTCGCCCTGGAACTAAGGTCCTACCTGACGGCTCGTTCAACGATCACCGAGGACTGTCAGATATCCTTGCTTTGGTGGATCTGGTGGCGACGGTGTGATCGGTTCAGGATCGTGCGGACACCGCGGGAATGGCACGGCCAGCAACCCAATGTCAATGTCAGGAAATCTCAGGCGATGTGAGGGGTATTTCTGTCATTTCTGTTTCAAACAATGAGTAGTTTGTTTTGAGACGAGCAGTGGATGGTAAGGTGACAGTTGCATGGCGGATAGCAGCCCATCAGACCCTGCGAGGGAGAAAAATGAGCCATTGCTGTCACAATATGTTAATGGGCCGTTTGTCAAGCCCCAAGGCAGTCTTTGCTTTTATAGATACTATTGAGAAGTTTAGCGAAGTTTATGTTACATGACTTTGGTGTGATTTCATTGCTGTTGGGCACAGTACAAGTTTAAAAAGTTTTGCTATATTATTGCTGCGAGTGCTGCATAGACTATTAACCGATGAGCTCGTGATTAGATCATGATTTTCTGCTCTTCTATTCCTTTCCATTCAATTCTTCCTTGTTGGCCCACCTGTACTTTCTTCTTTACCACAGGTGTTGACAGCAGGAAGTCTACTCCGAAGGTCGGACACTGGGCAGGCTTTTGTGAACCAAAGGACAAGTGATGAAACAAGTTGACAGCGGCTAAAACATGAAAATCATTGGACACGTTCATTTCTTGATTCAACTTGTCTGGCATTGTTTGGATGCCGGGCCTTATGGTGTTTGATGGTTGCTAGCAGATTGTGGCCCTGGCAAAACAATCATGAAGAATCTCTTTCCCAAATCCTTGACTTGACGGTCCAGATCTTTCGATATGGTGGCACAAAAAGTTGACATGTTTGAGCATAAAGTAATTGTTTCAGCTGCTGTTTGCTTTTTGGCTGCAGCTTTGCAAGATGGTAATTTGTATGACCTTTGCAGAGCTGACTTGACTAGTCGTGACTCATTTGTATATTGCTTTCTGTTTGCTATGCACGGAGCAAATATTTGCGAAAGTTCAGAACTCTGTCGACGTTCAGATCAGCTTTGATGAGTCACGGTGTCACAGGCCGGACAATGACAAAGAACACAATCATCACATAGTGCCATACCATACTTGAAGGGTTTCACTCCGTTCTGGAAATCATGGCATCCAACCCTTCCAACGTTTCTAAACAGGTCCAATACTTAGCGCCTTGAAGTATTTGTGGAGTGTTAGCAGACATCTATAAGTCAGGTGAAGTTGTGCCCAGTGAGGTTGTAACCAAAGCCTTGGAGAACGGACAGGTCTGGGTCGACTCCTGGTTGCGACTTAGGGATACTTAGGGGGAGGGAGGATGGATTCGGACGTGCCTTTGTTTTGCTGAGGACTTGGGATGGCAATCGCCCCTGACTGGGCTCACCCCACCCCGAGGTGCACCAGGCTGGAAGCGAGAGAAGCGCCACAAAAAAAGGCACGAAATCCTCGGGATTTCGACTCCCCACCAGGTGTCGAAATTTCGACGAAGCCGGTGCCGCCGTTGCCGTTCGCAAACAAAGGCAGGGATCCCAGGAACAAGACCATAGACCCACAGGTCATTTCGTTTCTGGATGGCTTCCGAAACCATCACATGATGGCCCATCATCAAGGATACAATAGTGACTAATTGTGACCTCATGACTCAGTCAACTTCAACACTGGAGGTCAGACGTGCAGATCAGGAAAGAGACATGATGATGCCAAAGTGGAGACCAGCAACGTGCCCATTGAGCAGCAGACGGTGGATTCTGGGCCCTAGTTATGGGATGTTATGGGCCTATTTGTCAAAATGATGCGAAGGGGATGAGGACCAGGAAGGTACCAGCTTGCCAACTCTCACTTGCCCGTCAAATACAGTCTTCGTTGTACCCGTCCATCACACTTACGTAAGAAAACAAATGGTATTCACCACCCTCAACAGAACAGGGTCATTTGTAGGTTTGTGAGTCTTATTGGTGACGCAACCATGGTCATCCTTCCAATTTCTTTTTTCTCAGGTATCAATTCCATCCTCCTTGTCCTACTGCTCGTGCATCCACATGTTCCTCCCCCTTATCTTCCTCCTTTGCCCGTGTTAGAACAGTTTGCACGGTGTCCTTGTTTCTGAAGTATTTTGGCCAAGGAAGCAGAAATGAAGAGGCTGCACGAACTTCGAGAGGCAGTTGCAAAGTTCAGCTTTGAGGGTCGCAGGAGCCTCAAATATAGGTCCACACTCAGCATCGACATGGATTCTGGTGCCAGGGTGGCCGAGGTTCACCCATGAATTCTCAGCGGAACCTTCATTCCAAACCCATCCAAATGCAGCGGTCCAAGCTTTCGACACTATTGGTTGTCCCTTCGGCTGTCCCTTCGGCTCAGGTGCAGCTGTTACGGCCTTGCAATCGGATATTGATCACCTACTGGATGAGCAGAGTGAGTCATTTCAGCTGGCAGATGAGCTGAAGCAGCAGCTGAGAACATTTCGTGGATGAAACTGACTACTCAACTGGGGACGCTCGGAAGAGCCGAGGCAGGGAAGAACTGGCGGGGGTCGTTTTGAGGACTCTGGGGATCTCTGGTATGTTCGAAACACAAGCCCTGCGCAGTTGCCCCCTTCTTCATATTCATATTGCCTATAAAAGCAGCGAAGCACGGCCGCAGGTGGAGTGAGCTCTCTTCCTTCAAAGCACAATGCGCGTGGCAGTTCCCAGTATCCCTATGGTCGGATACTGTCTTACCATGTCTTACCTCTGTCTGCCTCATTCCGACCACACACAGGTGCCAAGGAACATTCGAGTTACTGTAGGCGACGAAGTCCTTAGGATAGACATCGGATAGCAATGCAGCCAAACAGTCACGAAATGTAAATGAGATGTTGGAATTTCTTCTGGCCCTGTGTCAGAGCAGCAGGAAGAGTAACATGCAGTCCTCCTGTCAAAGCAACACGAAAGCATAGAGAAGGGCACTAGGGTCATCCTTTGCCACGGTGTTGTCAAGCAATGGTCTCAGATAGGCCGCCAGGCGTGTAAAAGAAGGAAAGAAGTGGATTGGGCCATTTTCCACACAGAAGACGCGTTACAGTTACTTGCGCCGAGGGCTCCAGAAATCCGGTACTACATGGCTTCACAGCCAGTGACCAAGCTGTGCAAAGGAGGGGGAAGTTGTTTCAATTTCAGATAATTTCTTCTTATGTGGATCGGGAGGAATGCAGATATCAACTTGACGGTAGGGACAATATTTGGAGAGAGAAGCATTGCATGTTTCTTATGTGCACGCCTTTCTAGAGATGTCCTGGTGTTTGTGCTGCTCGAGCTGAAAACTGACTCTTAGTCTCTTAGTAATCTCATTCTTTTTCCATTTTTGGAGCTCAATTCATCATGGCCAAGAAGACCGCGATTGGTATCGATCTTGGAACCACCTACAGTTCCTTGGCTCGACTCTCGGGAAGCTTGAGGGTTCTTCCCACATCTGCACCGGTTTGTAGAGGAGTTTCGGGGCAGATTGATTTATGTCTCTTCATTGATTGTTTCTACATGTTTCTACATTTTTTCCACGTTTTTACATGGTTCTACTGAAACCAGGTTGCGTCGGTGTGTGGAAGAACGATGGAGTGGAGATCATTGCCAACGACCAGGGCAACCGAACCACTCCATCTTATGTGGCTTTTACAGACACCGAGCGACTTATTGGTGATGCCGCCAAGAATCAGGTGGCACGCAATCCTGAGAACACTGCCGCTTGTTTGACAACACTTGGCAGATCATTCTTGGCAACTGCAATGTAAAAGACGACTTGGGACATTGCAAGACTGTGGATGATCATGATGGGCCATGATACACTGCACATGTCACGACCAAAAGTTGGGCAATGTTGGGCAATGATATGTCAGGAAACGGTCTTGTTTACATTTCTTGAAGAACAGCCTCCTTTTTTGACAGCTGCTTGATTGCCTGCAGAAACAGGTTGAACGATTCATTGTGAATCTTTCATGTTTCGGTTCTGAGAGCTGTGTGCAAGCCATCCCAAGGTCTTTGATGCAAAGCGCTTGATTGGCCGCAAGTTTGCGGACCCCATCGTGCAGGCTGACATCAAGCTGTGGCCTTTCAAGTGCGTAGCTGGCCAGGGTGACAAGCCCATGATCATCGTCAACGCTCAAGGGGAGGCGAGACGAAGACCCACAAAGACCGACAAAACCCTTTATTTGATGTAATAATATTTGATATATATTTTACAGAGGATATCGGCTGGGGTCGGTGTTTTTTTTCCCGAGAGCGTCTGAGCGCAGGGTTCTTCCAATAGTGGAGGTCTGTCTCTCATCTTCTCATCTTCTCATATCTTCTCATCTTCTCATCTTCACATCTTCTCATCTTCACATCTTCTCATCTTCACATCTTCTCAACATCTTCTCATCTTCACATCTCCTCCTCTTTACACCTTCTCATCCCTCATCTGATCTTCACATCTTCACATCTTCTCATCTTCACATCTTCTCATCTTTACATCTTCTCATCTTCTCATCTTCACATCTTCTCATCTTCACATCTTCTCATCTTCACATCTTCTCCTCTTCACATCTTCTCCTCTTTACATCTTCTCATCCCTCATCTTCACATCTTCACATCTTCTCATCTTCACATCTTCTCATCTTCACATCTTCTCATCTTCACATCTTCTCATCTTCACATCTTCTCATCTTCACATCTGCTCATCTTCACATCTTCACATCTGCTCATCACATCTGTTCATCTTCACATCTGCTCATCTTCACATCTTCTCATCTTCATATCTGCTCATCTTCACATCTTCTCCTCACATCTTTACATCTTCACATCCTCACATCTTCACATCTTCTCCTCTTGCCCTCTTGGCCTCTTGCCCTCTTGCCCTCTTCTTCACATCTTCTCATCCTCACATCTTTACATCTTCACATCCTCACATCTTCACATCTTCTCCTCTTGCCCTCTTGGCCTCTTGCCCTCTTGCCCTCTTCTTCACATCTTCTCATCCTCACATCTTTACATCTTCACATCTTCATCACATCTTCACATCCTCACATCTTCACATCTTCTCCTCTTGCCCTCTTGCCCTCTTGCCCCTCTTGCCCTCTCCTTCTTTTCTATTTCTCTTCTGAAGGCGGGGGCAGGGGCAGTGCCAACGAGACAGCACGAAACGCAACCCTTTCGCACGAAATGAGGTTCGATCGCCAAAAACTGAGGTAAAATTGCGATTTGAAGGTGTCCCGCGCAACCCTTACGCACGAAACGAGGTTCGATCGCCAAAAACTGAGGTAAAATTGCGAGTTCAAGTCGTCCCGCGTAACCCTTTCGCACGAAACGAGGTTCGATCGCCAAAAACTGAGGTAAAATTGCGATTTCAACTTGTCCCGCGCAACCCTTGGTGTGTAAAAGCTTTTGTGTGTAAAAGTGTCTGTGTGTCAAAGTGTTTGTGTGTAAAAGTGTCTGTGTGTAAAAGTGTCTGTGTGTAAAAGCGTCTGTGCGTAAACAAACGCGTCTGTGTGTAAAAGCTTCTGTGTGTCAAAGCTTCTCTGTGTAAGGGGTTCTCTGTGTAAAAGCTTGCTCTGTGTAAAAGCTTCTGTGTGTAAAAGTGTTTGCAATGCAAACTATTGTCTTGTACTTGTGCTATATTGTCTTGATACTCCTCTTCTCGACTGCCTACAACACATCTTTAATATATTGTTTTGTAATATAGTGTCTCCATACTAACAAGAGAAGACCCTGCTCCTCTACGCTCTCGGGCCATCCGTCGTCTAGTGTTTGTTGAAGAGAGCAGTTTGTCATGATGTCATCATTGATGTGTTGCTTGTGACATGTCATAGGTGAATATGCGGTTTTGTGTTTCAATTTTCAACTCGGGATGGACATGCGGACATGGCTGAGCCTTTTCTTTCACGTAGCCTCAGGAGAAGAAGTTCCACCCTGAAGAGATCTCTTCCATGATTTTGTTGAAGATGAAGGAGACCGCTGAGGCATACTTGGGTACCAAGGTGAATGACGCAGTGGTTACTGTGCCTGCTTACTTCAATGATTCTCAGCGTCAGGCCACCAAGGATGCAGGCACCATTTCAGGCATGAACGTGCTGCGCATCATCAACGAGCCTACTGCTGCTGCCATCGCTTATGGCCTTGACAAGAAAGGCACCGGAGAACGAAATGTGTTGATCTACGACATGGGTGGAGGCACTTTCGATGTGTCTTTGTTGACCATTGAGGATGGAATCTTTGAGGTGAAGGCCACCGCTGGTGATACCCACTTGGGTGGTGAAGACTTCGACAACCGAGTTGTGGATTTCTGCATGCAGGACTTCAAGCGAAAGAATCGTGGCAAGGACATGACAGGCAACCAGCGTGCCATCCGACGCTTGCGCACTCAGTGCGAGCGCGCCAAGCGCACTTTGTCTTCTTCCACACAGGCAACCATTGAAATCGATTCCTTGTTCGAAGGCATCGATTACTCCTGCAGCTTGTCAAGGGCGCGATTTGAGGAGCTGTGCATGGACTACTTCCGCAACTCCATGGGTCCTGTGGAGAAGTGCTTGAAGGATTCTGGCATCGACAAGAAGAGTGTCCATGATGTGGTTCTGGTGGGTGGTTCCACCCGTATTCCCAAGGTGCAGTCTATGATCCAGGAGTTCTTCAATGGCAAAGAGCCCAACAAGTCCATCAACCCAGATGAGGCCGTGGCTTATGGTGCCGCTGTGCAGGCTGCAATTCTCACTGGCGAGGGCTCCTCTGCAGTCCAGGATTTGTTGCTGTTGGATGTGACTCCCCTGTCCATGGGACTGGAGACTGCTGGTGGCGTGATGACCAAGTTGATCGAGCGCAACACCACCATCCCAACCAAGAAGGCACAGACGTTCACTACCTATGCGGACAACCAGCCTGGTGTCTTGATCCAGGTCTTTGAGGGAGAGCGTGCCATGACCAAGGACAACAACTTGCTTGGCAAGTTCCACTTGGATGGCATTCCCCCAGCCCCTCGTGGTGTGCCGCAGATCGAGGTCACCTATGACATTGATGCCAATGGCATTTTGAATGTCAGTGCCTCTGACAAGTCCACCGGAAAGTCGAACCAGATTACCATCACCAACGAAAAGGGCCGACTGTCGCAGTCAGAAATTGACCGCATGGTGCAGGAGGCTGAGAAGTTCCGCGCTGAGGATGAGCAGAACAAGCAGAAGATCGAGGCCAAGAACGGCTTGGAGAACTACTGCTTCACGATGCGCAACACCCTCAACGAGGAGAAGCTGAAGGACAAGTTCGAGTCTGGTGACAAGGAGAAGATCGAATCCGCAGTGCAGGAGACACTGGACTGGTTGGACAAGAATCAGCTCGCAGAGAAGGATGAGTTCGAGGCCAAGCAGAAGGAGCTTGAGGGCATCGTGAACCCCATCATGATGAAGGTGTACCAGGCCGCAGGGGGCGGCGGCATGCCAGAAGGTGGCATGCCTGGTGGTGGCATGGGTGGTGCTCCG